GACTGCACCAGAAGGAAAATGACAGAGTTATCCTCCCAGTTGATGTATGTAGACGCTTTGCACAGTTTAACACAAGCAATAGCAGCACTTTCAGTCAATTGTCTGCTCCCACCATGGCCTGCCAGCGCTTTCCTGAGGTTGTCCAGAAACAGTTTCTGCAGAATTCAAATATATCAACCCAAAAGAGAAAAAAAAAAAGTTATAACCCGTTTGGTGAGCTTGGGACAGAGCTTTTATATCTTTAAATACATGTCTTTAAAAAACATATTCCAGACTTTTAGTGAGGAATCAGTAAAAGAGGGATATCGGGGCAGTGAAAGAAACTCAAGTATTTGATTTGAATGGTATCGTCTAATGTTTCAAAATATTATGATTAATCAGTTTAGAAAAGTACATTTTATTCATTACGGAACTTAATTTTGGACCATTTGCTGTTGTGTTAAGGTATTATCATGCATTCGGTTTTATCGTGGTTGGCCCAGATGCTACAGAAACAGATGACTGCCACTATTTAACTGCAAAATTCTGTAGCCACATCAAATTCTATTCCTTTTGTAGTATTACATTTGTAAGCTACATATTCATATACCACAAAAACAAAGCAAGCACAACGTAGGCACGCTAGAAGTAATGCTACACTTGACTAAAGCATGCAGGGGAGAATATGACGATTGAAAACTCTTGACAGTTCTTTGGTCTCAAGGCTGACAGGGCTGAGGGCTTAGGTAAAATTTTGTTTAGCACCTCCATAAGCAAGTGACTTATTGCTCTGCACCAGAATATCTATGTAACCTTTGTCAAGCAGAAAATGCATATTACACAAGATTTTGAGGGTGGGGAAAGCAAAAGGTTAAGTAAGGTCCTCAAGACCTCAAAACTCCATGTAGCATGCCACTACAAAGCACTTCTATAACTTGGATGTCTACTGACTAAGACAACATTTTCTTCACCTTGTTTATTTTGGTTTCTTCCACCACATCCTTAGCTATATCTTGGATGATCTCTGGACACAGGACGAGAAGAATGATTTGCAGTGGCCAAACTGCTGCTTTCCGCTTTGTGCTTTCGGCAAAGCCATCCACCAAGTCAAACAACTTCTCTGCACAGTCTACATTTAAAAACACCCACATGACTACCAAAGAGTTGAAAAAATAACACTAAAATACCCTGCTACGTTTAGCTTACATTTGCTGTTTGGCAAAGAACATTACCACTCAAAGGAAAAAGGACTACAAACATTAGGACTTAGGTTCCATAAACAAAAGAAATAAGAACAGGAAAGCTGAACACATAATTTATGCATTAAAACTACTGCTATGTGGTGTTTCAGACATGCACACTATCCATGGAAGAGAAATGCTATGCAAGGGCTAGGTACTGCCTGAAGAAAAATTAAGAAATGAAAGAGACAGGGCAATTCAAATGCCTAAGACAAAAAAAGATTGCTCATAAACCCTATGCCATAATGCACTGCAATTTGCATGCACAAATGTTAAACATTTGCTTGAAATATTTTGCCTTTTTTTAAATGATTAAGGAGTCATTCTTTTTCTGAATGATCAGTTCACTAAATGCTAGTATAATTTAAGTGGAAAATATGTTCATACACAAGTGACATCGGCTGCTTGCAGACATTAAAATAACAAAAACAAAAAACACACCCCCACCACTCCCCTGCACAATGCGCTTTACCAGAAGCAACAGCGTGTTGCTTCAGCCTGGCTCTACAGTGTCTGTACAGATTGGGCCTTTTGGCACCTTCAGTTAAGCTGAATCAATTAGAATCATGCATCGCGGAGACCAACTGGTGACTACGGGAA